CGAACCCTTGGGTGGGAGCGCCGCCGCGTTTCCCAAGCGGCGCACTTATCCAGTGCGCCACCGGGCCGGCCCCACTTTTATTTCTTAAAAGGCTATTTCCTTGGGTATAGAATTTGAGGTTGGCAATTATTTTCTTTCAGCATTTTAAAGATATTTTTGTTCAGTTTTCTGGCTTTCATTATTTCTATTCAGAAATCAGCTTTAAATCTAATAGTTACTCCTTTGAAGGTAACCTATCATTTTTGCTCTGTCTGCTTTTAAGAATTTTCTCTTTATCTTTGATTTTAGAAATTGTACTATGGTGTTTCTGGATGTAGATTACTTATTTCTGTGGCTTTATTTCTCTCACCAGTTTTGGAAAATAGTGCATCTTCCCCATTTTTGCTCTGTCTGCTTTTAAGAATTTTCTCTTTATCTTTGATTTTAGAAATTGTACTAGGGTGTTTCTGGATGTAGATTACTTATTTCTGTGGCTTTATTTCTCTCACCAGTTTTGGAAAATAGTGCATCTTCCTTCTCTAATCTCTCTCCCTTCTTACTAGGGCTCTTAGATTCTTAGATCTTAGTACTGAATCCCCTATGTTCTTTATTCTCTCCTACAATTTACCTCTCCACGTTAATCCTGGATATTTTAATGACATCCCTTTTAGTTGACTAATTCTGTCTTTAGCCATCAAACCCAATAATTGAGATCCTAATTCCAAATATTGCAATTTTTATTTTTATTTTTCTAGAAGTGAGTGGCAGCTCAGAATAGGCATTGAGCAACTGGGACATAGGCGAAAGTGAGATACCGGCAAGACAGCGGTGGGAGAATTGAACTATGGAGTTCACGCTGGATAGGAAGGGAGGGGAAGGAAATTGGGAGTGGTAGAGAAGGGGAAAGCAGAGGGCTCAATGTAGCAGATGTCGAGGTTATGTGAGAAAAAGTAAGAGACTGAGATGTAGTGGAAATAGCAATGAGAGATCTAAAGGATTGAGGATTGTGGTCAGAGGCTGAAATGTTTGAATTTAAAGCAATTTTAATAAGGGAAGCTATATTAGTCAAGGTAGTCTCTGTGGTGCTGCAATAATAAATCCCAACTGTCAGGGGATTTATACAATAAAAGCTTAATTCTTGATCACATATCGTCTAATGCAGATGTCCCTGGTTAGATCGTTTTTGTGGGTGACTCTCCTCAAAGCAGTGAATTACAAACCTGGGATGTTTCTATTGAGTGGCTCCTTGAAATCTCTCTCCCGGCTTGTTTTCATCCAACTCCCATTTGCTACATCCTTAATTGTTGCTGTGATATACTGATGTGAGGAAAGATAGAAAGCACGGAGGTTCACACGATTCCTTCTTAAGCACTTCATCCGGAAACGACATGTATAATTTCTGCTCATATTCCAGTCATGAGAACCCATTGTATGACTCTACCTAGATGCACATGGGCCTGGGAAATGCAGTCCTTGCTTAGAAAACTTTTTCCCAGCAATGCCTCTGTATGATGGATGGTAGAATTCAGGAGTCAACTGTAATTGTTTTCAGGGCATGAGGAAAAATAATCAAGTTCTGAGTATATGACATCAGCAAGCAGGGATGGGCTAGATGTTAACTGGATGGCAGGAGCCGCAAACAAATGGAGTTTTACTTTGAGCAAAGAGATAATCCTCTTGAAGTGATACTATGGACTAGGGAAGCCACCAACTCCACATCTCGTCCTTAAGTAGATGGTGCGAGATAAAGAGCACCCTTGGTTTGATAGAACTATAGGAAACAGAAATCCTGAGAAACTTCTACCGAATAAGGATCTGGGAGCATTTAACCCTAAGGTATAATGGGAAGGTCTGAGAAGGAAGAAAGGAAGGGAGTAGAAAAAGGCTGAGACTGTGGGGAGGAAGTAAGACAGAAGAACCGAACAAGTATAGGAGGAATGTGTGCTGGGATGAAATTATGTGATGGTCCCATAATTGAAAGTTCTTGTAGTATGCCAGGGGTCAGCAGGTGGAACTCAGTTCTCTTGGCTGCCATCTAGGTGGGTTATATTTCTTGGATAATTAAGGTCTACAGTAGATAGAAATGTTCCTTTGGAAAAAGTCATCCCTAGTTTTGTTTGAGTGTGAGACCCCTGGGGAATCTGAGGAATCAATGCTGGTAACTTCTAGAGAGGCTCTGTCATGACAGGAGGCCCACAAGGGCAGCAGGGCCCACGGAGGGAGGTGAAGTGTGGTGACAGGGAGCAGAGGGGCTATTCTGCTGCATCCTACAAAGTGACAGGACAGAGTAAGGGGGATTCACTGAGGAAGCTGAGATCAACCTGTCACGGAGGAAAGAAGAAAGCCGGGAAAGTGCGTGGACTTTGAAGCCAAGCTCGGCAGGGTCAAATGATGCAAAGAAGTCAAGTGAAATGAAGCCCAAACAATGTCCATTTGATTTAGCACAAATGGGATAAATGTCCTAGAGCCAAAGGCAGACCCACAAATAATCAAGCATTAAACACAGTTTGGAGAGAAAAGAAAATACTCACATATAATTGCATCATCCTACCATAAACATTACTTTATTTTTTCTGGACCCTTTATGTCTGTTTTATATGACAATGGCTTCTTTTTTCATGAATAAATTTTAGTAGCCATGTAATTTTTTTTTTTATTAATGAAGATGGAAGTTTATTCTTAACTTCACCAGGGTGCAGCTTAAAATGTTGTTGCCAGCAGGAGAAACCCAGTGACAAGAAAGCAACAGATAGAAAACTGAGGGCTGGAAAACAGTGACATCTCATTGCATTAATCCTGTCACTAACTGAGAGTAAATTCTTGCATCAATTTTTTCAAAATATAGGATTCATCAACTTTCTTTTTGTTGTTATGTGTAATCACTTAAGTCACTGGAGCAGATACATTGTTTTGCTGATCCAATAACCATATCCTCCGTTATTTATTGTATATAGAACTCTGATTTTTTTCAAGCATCTACCCCACTGTATCATGAAGCTGTCCTCTTTCAGGGGTAAATCCCTATGAGTCTTTGCTAATATAATCTTACTTCTTTAGCCAGTGACTGGTTTAGGAGTGGGTATGGGACCAAATTTAGTCAGTGTGATGTGGGTGTAGGGATTCTTCCCTGCAGGTAGTCATAGAATTTACAACACAGGTGGGATATTTTTTCCTACCCCCGGCTACTTGGTTCTATTTTTTTTTTTTTAGATAACTTAATATAGATTTAAAAAATGTCTAATTGCATGCTAAATTCTGTTTTGATTCAAAGATGTCATACCTGCTTCATAGTATTATTAAAGCTATAGTCTTTCCTGCCATGTATTTCCCACACTATGAAATTTGCTTCAACATTTTCAATAAAGCCATTATCATCAAATCTGAAAGAAAGAGCAAACACAAAAATAAAACTTTAGTGGAAAATGGAGGGGTTAAGAGTTCCAACTTTTGAGTTAGATGGGCTTAGGTTTAAATCCCATGTTTATCACTTAATAACTTTGCAACCCCGGGGAAGTTAGTTCAACTCATGAAGGCTCAATTTTCTTATCTGTAAAATCATAATAGCATCTGCTGTATAGGTCTATTTTGATAACAGATATTATTTCATTCAGCTCTCAAAATAAAAACTTAATAGTAAATAAAGTAGAAGACATTAATTTTTTTTAACAGTTGGAACCATGAGTTCTCTTTTCTTTGACAGGGACCAGGTATGGACAAGCTGAGGGTAGCTGAAGCCCTGCTGTCATGGATGTTAGCAGCGAGAAAGATGGGAGGACAGGATGAATGGAGGAAGGCCAAAGCAAGGATCCCCTGGCGTCATTTAATTCACAAACATTTATTGCCTAACAGGTACCAGAGAATGAAACCACAGACGCGCTATGATGCGAGCTAAGGAGCTGCAGTCCTCCCAGGAGAGACTGGCTGGAAGATGTGGGTGAGTCTCAGAGGATCTGCATCATCACTAGAGCTGAGGTGGGGCTGAGAAGCAGAAGTAGTTTGTAAGCTCCCTGGAGTGGTAGTCGTAGCCCATGCTCAGAGAATGGCTGATGACTTCTTCCACCAGCAGACACAGCAAAGGGTTCAACACGGACAGGACACACCCACCCTGATGCTGGGACTGGATACATAAGCCCCATTGAGCTTCACTGAACTTAGAGTATTTACTCCAAATTTGGTGAGTTTTAAAAGAGAGGTGGGGCTGGCTGGTTAGCTCACGTGGTAGAGCACGGTGCTGATGATGCCAAGGTCACGGGTTTGGATCCCCATACTGGCCAACGTCCCCCCGCAAAAAAAAAAAACACAGAGAGAGATGTGGTACTTCATATTAAAATTATTTTTTTCCTGCTACCGTATGAAAATGGGGCTTGAGACCAAAGCTAAAGTTCAGTTATTGATAAAATCACACCTTTGCATGGCAGATCTTGTGACTGTAAAAATGGTTACGTATCTTCCTTCTCCATAGTTACCGCCCATATTTCTGAATGAAATTATCCCCTACACCCTTTGATGAAAATTTCACTCAGGACCTTGGTTTCAGGTACTTCCTTCTAGGCTTCCGACTCTTCTCCCACTTTCTGATATAATTTCTTACTTCACAGCTCTGTGTCTATTTGTAAAAAATAATAGGTCCTTGACAGTGTCTCCTTACTGTCAAGATCTCTGCTTCACTGCACAATTGTTGTATCTGGTCTTTAAGGTCTGCTACAACTTGCTACCATCCAAACCTGGTTATCAAAAACAGTTACTGTCCCATTCCCACAAATTGGGCAGAAAAATATTAAGTGTCAAAAAATGGAATCTGAGAAGTTATTTTATTTTCATCTCAATTAGTTTCGAGAAATCATAAAGAGAGGATGTAGGTTCAAGATGGCTGAGTGGGGGTGCCCAGCTCTCGCCTCTGGTGTAAAGTCCAAAACAACAAATAGATAATCACACATTGTGTAGAGTGTCTAGGAGAAAACACCCAAATTTAAAAAAATAGTGAAGAAGACCCCCTGAGGGCCTTCTTCATAGAAAGACAAGTGGAATGCCCACTGAGATCGGCTTGGAACCAAGAGAGACTACTTGCTGGGGGGAAAAGGTAAACAAAAAATCCCCAATGTTCTGAGCTCCTGCCTTGGATGCCTGCAATCCAAGCTCAAAAGAGCCTGGTAGCCCTTGCAGGCTGTGAGCGAGTATAGGGAGCTGCGTGGAGCCCACAAGATTGCATTATCCCAGAGAGGGAACTCATGTTGAGTACCCACCCCCCAGGTCCTAGGCTGCCAAAGCACATCGCCATTTGGGGATTGGAGCCAACACTAGAGTACATTTTGTCCTGGGGTCCAATAGCCCTGGCATCTCCGCATCCCTAAGGCCCCCTCATCACACTGTGACATCAGCACCCCTGAGAACAAGTGGTGCAGCACAGTGCAGAGGCCACCCCCAAGACAGAAGGAGTCAGTGCTCTCACTTTCTGTAGATGGAGACCTTCTGCCATGGCTGGTAGCCCTGGTCTTTCCAGTGGAGTCCTGTGTGCCTCTCCCAAGGGAACACAGGCCTGCTGCAGCTCAAACAAACCAGCCTAGAGCCACCCACTCCACCTGAGAAGCTGTGGAGCACCTGTGTGCCTCTCCAGGGGACACAGAGTCCCATCTGTAGCTCCAATGAACCCACCCAGAGCCATCCACTCTGGCTGAGAAGCTGCAGAGCACCTTACTGTCTCTGTGTTAGGGCTCAGATCCCATCCACATCCTCAGCAGCCTTGCCCAGAGTGGCCCACTCCAACTGAGGAGCTGCAGAGCATCCCAGCATCTCTCTTGGGGGATCAGGGTCCCATCCATGACCCTAGTGACCTTGCCCAGAGGGGCCCACTTCAGCTGAGGAGCATCCCAGCACCTTTCCTGTGGGGTCCCACTCAAAGCCCCAGCAATCCCACCTAGGATCGCTCATTTAAGCTGAGGAGCTGCAGAATGCCTCAGTGTCTCTCTCTCAGGGGCACAGGATCCTGGCTGAAGCACCAGCAACCTTACCCATGGTCACCCACTCCAGCTGAGGCACTGCAGAGCACCTAACAGTTCTCCCAGGGGTCTGAGATCTCACCCACAATCCCAGAAACCCCACCTAGTGTTGCCTATTCCAGATGAGCAGCTGTAGAACACCCCAACACTTCTCACAGGAGTCTGCAGTCCTGCCCATTACCCTGGCAATCCCACCCACTTTAGTGGAGAGCCAATGGCAACAGCATCTCTGTGTCCTGACAGGTTGCTCATTTCAGCTAAAGGAGTATTAAGTGCACTGGTGCAAATCCCAGGAGCCCAAAGTCCCTCCTGCATTCCCAGCAACCTCACCCAGTGTCACCCACTCCAGCAAGGAGCTGAAGAGCACCTCTGTGCCTAGGCCACTGAGCAACTCACAGACAACTCTGAAGTTGAATACAGTTGAAATCACAGGGAGATTACACTACTAGGTGCACTCAGAACCAAACCTGAAACACCCTACCCAATTGATCCTATAGAACACATCTACAGGAAAGAGTATTTCCTTCTAAAGCTGTTCCAGACAATTAGAAGAAGTGATTGTTCCACTAGATGCCCTGACATCAATGTATGGATATGAGAAACATGAAAAAAAAAAACACAAGAAAACATGTCACCATTATCAAGAAAACATGTGAAAAGATGAAATTCACTGATGAAAGAAAATGAAGAGGACGCAAAGAAATGGAAAGATATTCCGTGTTTGTGGGTTGGAAGAATTAATATTGTGAAAATGATTGCTATGGGTCAAACATGTCCCCCCAAATTTATGTGTTGGAAACTTAATCAACAATGTAACAGTGTTAAGAGGGTGGGAAATCTAATTATGGTATGTGAAAGGTCAGCTTTTAATAGGAGATTAGATTCTGAGCACTGTGCCCTAGTGAGTGGATTGATCTGTTCATAGAGTAATGACTGTAGTTCTAATGGCTTTATAAGGAGGGCAAGTGAGAAGGTTAAACTCTTGCTCAGCCCATTCTAGCCATGTGATATCCTGGTTGCCATGGGACTCTGTAGAACTCCCACCCTCACCAGATGTGTTTCCTGGGCCTTGGACTTCCCAGCCTCTAAAACTGTAAGCAACAGATTGTATTTCTTTGTAAATTACCCAGTTTCAGGTATTCTGTTATAAGCAACAGAAATGGACTAATGCAATGACCATATTACCAAAAGTAATCTACAGATTTAATGTAATACCTGTCAAAATACTAATACTATTTCCGTGACATTCTTCACAGAAATAGAACAATACTAAAATTCATGTGGAACCACAAAAGACCTCAAATAGACAAAGCAACCCTGAGCAAAAAGAACAAGGATGGTGGCTTCAGACTCCCTGACTTCAAAATATACTACAAAGCTATAGTAACCAAAACAGCATCGTACTGGCATAAAAACCTACACACAGGCCAATGGAACAGAACAGAGAACCCAGAAATAAAAACCATGTGTTTGCTGCCCACTGATTTTTGATAAAGGCACAAAGACTATTCAGTGGGGAAAGTACAGTCTCTTTAATAAATAGTGCTGGGAAAACTGGATAGCTACATGCAGAAGTTTGAAACTAGCCCCCTATCTGTCACCATATTAAAAAAAATTCAAAATGGATTCAAGACCTAAGTTTAAGACCTCAAACTATGAAACTACTAGAAGAAAACAAAGGGGAAATACTACAAGAAATGGGAGTGAGCAGCACTTTTTTGAACAAGATTGCAAGGGCATAGGGAACTAAAGCAAAAATAGACAAATGAGACTACATCAAACTAAAAAGCCTCTGCACAGCAAAGGACACAGTCAACAAAGTGAGGAGACAACCTACAGAATGGGAGAAAGTGTTTGCAATCTACACATCAGACAAGGGGCTAATGTCCAGGATATATAAGAAACTCAAACAACTCAACAGCAAAAGACAAATAACCAATTGAAAAATGGGCAAAGGACCTGAACAGACTTTTCTCAAAATAAGACATACAAATGGCCAACAAGCACATGAAAAAATGCTCAGCATCGCTAATCATCAGGGAAATGCAAACAAAGCCACAATGAGATACCATCTCACCCCAGTTAGAATGGCTATTATCAACAAGGCAGAAAATAACAAATGCTGGCGAGGATGTGGAGAAAAGAGAACCTTCTTACATTGTTGGTGGGAATGTAAATTGGTACAGCCATTGTGGGAAACAGTGTGGAGATTCCTCAGAGAACTAAAAATTGAACTACCCTATGATCCAGCAATCCCACTACTGGGTATATATCCTAAGGAAATGAAATAAATTGAAGAGACACCTGCACTCCCATGTTCATTGCAACACTATTTACAATAGCGAGGGTGAATGGATAAAAAATATGTGGTATGTATACACAAT